TGATGGAGATCAATGGACGGACGGAGGAACAGCTGATCTGAACAAAGCCCAGCGATCGATTTTCTTCACTCACACGGCGCCATCGAAAAGGTAACCGGCAACCAGTTGTTTTAAAACCGAAATGCTGTATAGTTTATCATAGAACATTTAGGTGTGAGTGGACAAGATACAATGTTTTGAGGTAAACAGAATTTTAGAGAAAAAATAATAATAATAATTTTTCTCTTAGCTTGAACGGCCGTTGTGATAAAAAGCACATTGTATATAGTGTTTGTTTGGACGTCTCTGTGTGTGTTACCGACAAAGCTTGTTTGTGTAGCGTTAACGTTAAGCGAATGGGTGGCGTTAATTAACCGATCGGTCATAATAAGGAATGAGTGAAAACCTAGTATAGGCCTCAACTGGATGAGGGAAAACGTATCGCAACTTATAGATTGGATACGTAATGCACTGTGTATAACGTTCTAACAGAGTTAAAGACCCATGTGGCGCGTCGGGACCGTGATCGGGTTGCCGAGCAAAGGAGGGGGATGAGGTTCGCCGTTCAGTGCCGACTAGCGGTTGTCTCAATAAGCCTCTTTTAGACTATGTTAGAAATCACAATAAATTAAATAAAGTATGGACTAGACGACGCCTATATGGCTAGAAAGCAAGATTACATTTCGGAAGTGAGCCTACGGGACTCCGTCAAATTTGCAGAATAATTGTGTGCAGAAACAAGACATGCGTCATGGGGACTCGGTCAGCATTTAATAAAATTGGAAGACCCGGGGAGGACAAAATTAATGGTAAAATTACAATACATTAGAGATCAGGGAATAACCTTACGAACTTGTATATGTTGTATATTGTGTGTTGCATGTTGCGAAAAGAATGAAGCCGGATTAAGGATTTGATTGGGGCCTGGTCTTGGGGAAAACGGAGCACATGTTTTTGGAACATTACAAGATGGCGGGCGGAGATAAATAGAGAAAACAGTTAAAAGATGGCTGAAAAAGAAATTCTCAGCACGGTCTACAGGGGGGATAACAATGACTTGTTATCCACCACTACTGGGGGTGGAGAACATGTACTTTGGAGATTTCCAAAATGGCAGCCAGCGACAGTTAAAAGAAGAAACACAGATGTAACACAGTTTTTGTATTTCCCACCTACACTCTGTATTTCCATTGAACAGTGTCTCCCCTTGTCTCCATTTCCAAATGATTCTAACATTTTTTCTTCCTCCATTCTTAGGACCATGTGATTTTTGTTTGCATTACAAACGGTCTATGGACTTTTTCTAGGCTCTATATGATTCTTTATGTTTTAACGTGTATATAATTGTTCTTACATTAACACAATTTTCCCATTTATTGTTTAAACATTTTTACAATTACTGAGTTTGAGAGAGACTCTGATCAGAGTCTGCAACACATCACAGACACACACAGCAGCACACCTGAAGATGTACATTAGCACACACACCCATGGGACTTGGGCAAGAGACAAAGGACAGGACAATGTCTGTGGAGCCGGTCT